TTCTTGTAGCATTGAAGAGTATGGCACCTTCAAGGGTTCCATATATACAGATTAATCACATCCACGATGAAAAAAAATTCAGGGAAACAACTTAGATTGTGCAGAAGTACACGAGAAGGTAATATGAGGAAATTACAGGGAATTAGAGAGGCTGAGTTGCAAAGTTGCAACACCTAACTCTTACAAATGCTGTTACCATTTCTTATTTCCTGCAGAATAATAAGATACAGAAAGAAAGGGAATGATGATGGTGTCTGGAAGCATAGCTTTCAGCATCGGCAGGGATGGCAGGAACAAAGGCGGCAGCGATACACGAGATAACAAGATGGTCCTCGAGACAGGTAGGCAACCATGAGAGCTAGACATATGACTATCACCATGAGAGGTAGCATGAGATCTGGAACCCCATTATCAGACGATGCTCCACAACAGACCTTCCCCATTGCACGACGCTCTTCCGTTACTCGTCCAGAAGACCAAGAAGAACAATATAAGGACATGGAAATGGAATCTCAAGGACTCTATTTGACCATGATATTAATAGTTTACAGGAGGGATTTGGTTTCTTCCAGCATGGTAGTTAACTATTTAATTACATCATTCGTGCTTATGATTACACAAATAATTGTGTTTAGTAAATTACTATACTATAGTACAACACTACAACATTGTAAAGTCTTGTTTATTATCCCACCTAACAAAATCGTCATGTTTATTAAGATATTCTGTGTTCTGCCGGCCAAAAAGTACTTATCCCATAATAGCATTCAAGCATACAGAGGATATTCAACAAAAGCCAAATTTATTGCAGCATCTAAGAATATGGCACCTTCAAGGGTTCCAGATCTGCAGATTAATCACATTCTCAACGAAAAATTCAATAAAACAACTTAATTTGTGCAGAAGTACAATCTTTAACAAAATCACTCCTTTGCAAATGTTCTTTATATGAAAAAGTATTTACCTCACGCCAAAGTTAGCAGCTCTGCAAAGTCGAAAATTCCATGCAAGCTAAATCCAATTTCTTCCACCATAATCTCATTCAATCAAATTAGAGAGGGAGGAGTGAATTATTCAGGAACTCCAAGGAAGTGAGCAAAGCTAGGGTATTTTGGCTCCCATCCAAGTTCTTGACGAGTTTTAGAGTTGTTTAACTTCTTTCCTAAAGGACCATCAGTCCCTACAACATGACATATGCAAGTTAATACCAGCTTCAGATACCCAAGAACCAGATAATTGTTAAATTATATAAAAGAAGAAACACAATAATTGACTTAAATGCCTCAAATTTTTTTGTTAAATTCTTAAATTCTTTGAGTCTAAGTAAGCAGCTGACCTGTAAATGCCTCAAACTTTTTGCTGAACTTTCCACTTCTGTTAACCAAGTCCATTGTTTCTTGCCTGTGGAGAAAATTACAGGCTTAGATGAAAATCACCGACATTTAGAGCAGTCCATCTAATAGCTTGAATTGAAATTGGAGAAGCCTTAAATTAGATTGATGCATCAGTGCCAATAAAACCAGGATACAGAGGTGGGGAAGTGCATTAGAAGCATTTGAAGTAAAAATATTGATGTTATTATTGAAAGAAAATTTTGGATTTGAATCACATTCGTCCCAGGTAAAAGACGATCACCTGGACAAAGGTTGGTTGTCACAGCCCAAGAAAATTCGCCCACGAAATTTTTTCTTCAGAATTGTAACTGATAGGGAAGCTGCATCCTATTACCAATATCCAAGTAGAAATCAATGCCATTTAGTGTCTAAATCATGCTGTAAACCTCATAAATGAACTGTCTATGAACAGCAAGCAGATAAAAAGCTAAAAAACAAACACCAACAATGAAATAAAACTGAATGGTATGTGAATTCAGTTTTATACCATTCAGTTTTTGGGCTATTCAAGTTAAGAAATTGAAGGAATTTGCAAATAAAGAAACACAATGAGTATAATTTTTTCCTTAAAAAAATATTAATTAATACATTAATACAAAAGAACTGGGTGCACACCTCATAGTGTATAAGATTCAGAATGTGATCAGGACGAGCCTCAACAGTCCCCTTCTTTAACCAATAAGTATGAGCACCCCTATCTGCTTTGTATAGAAAGTTAAGGTTACTGAGATTACAATATAACCAACTCTAGAAGAAATTTGATTTTCCCCACCAACATTTATCATTGAAATTATTGTCTCAGAAAGGATATGTAAAGTCCTGCTAATCTAACAACACAGCCACCAAACTCTAATACTACTTGTTCAGCCTTGAGAAGCACATCTGTCTTAGGGCTTCTACCAATTGGCATGACTGGAGTATCCTGTTCAGGAAAATATGAAATCTCTGTGAGATCACAAATTCCCAAAGTTCATAAGTTGACATTACTATTAACAGGTTCAAAACTCTCATAAAACTATGAAAGGCCAGAAAGCTGATACATTATGTTGGTGGCAAGAATTAAAGGGCAAGCTGATATTACCATATCTCATAAAACTCTTAAACTAGATAAGGCCAGCCTCCTTTCGATGAAATTAGAAGAATAAAGAGAACTTGTTACAGCAGACTTATGGGTTTAGGTTAGATGAAACACCTCATCACATGGTCCATTGTCACTGCAATCAAAAGGTGCTGAACTTGATGTGAATAAGAAAGAACCTTCACCACTCCAGCTCAATGCAGCCATCCTGCTTAGTTCAAAGCCAAAATAATAACATTAATTCATAAAATGTACACAAAAGAAAATCCTAGTGGAGCTCCTTACGTGCTAATATACACTAATAATCTAGCTTTTCCAATTGATGTTGAACACAACGCAAACTCTTTTCCCTTAACCATGAATAATATAACATGATGAAATTCTAAAAGCTAAGATTGTCAAAATTACCTGACATCACCTGGATAGTCTGAGGTCTGTGATGGAGGCGCACAAAAAATCACATATGGAAACTGTTGAGTTTTAGTCCCCTTCAATAATGGATTTATCCCCATTTTGATCAACTCATCATGGTGATCTGTTGTCATAGTCTGCCCATAAACTTGACATCCCGGGTGTTCCTGCCCACAAAATAAACCTTCAAATTTAACTATCATCTCCTAAACTTATTCACACAAAGAAACATCAACGTGCATACGTATATGCTTAACTGAACCTGGGTGGACTTAAAATTGGTTTCTTGAACCATTTTCATTTTTCCATTTCCATAAATTTCAATTTCATGCTACCAAAGCAACTTTCATTCATCAAATGACTATCAAATTCTCATCCAAACTGATAACTATGGTCATAGACATAGTTAAGCAAACAGTTTGGATAGCCCCAACAGACATGAGAATCAATCAACTTACCTCCCTCCATTTCTCAGCCACTAAGCGACCAAGAACGCCCGGTCCAACAATCAGCAAATCGTTCTTTCCCACCACACCAAAAGACGGTGTAGCCTCCCCTCCCTCGTTTCTCGCACCTTCACCGACCCAGAAGTTAAAAACAACCAAGAATGAACTGAAAACAAAAACCCAAGACAGCAATCAAAGGGAGGGACATACCAATGGTTGAAGATGCTGAGACTTGAAGCCTAGTCGCAATTGATGAAGATAACTTAACATTGTAAATGGGATTTCGGTTCTTGAATCTGGGTACTGAGAAAATGGAATTCTTAGCAAAATTCGAAAATTGCACACCATAATGACTACAGAAACAGGGGCTCGTCGCAGTGACAGAGGAGAGGGTTCCCATCTAAAGAACACCCAGAAACTGAAGAGATAAAAACGGAAGTCTTGAACAGACGATCTTCTTCAATAATCAATATACTGCAGGTAGCAGGTGATGGGGGGGGTGAGGAGGGGTTTATCGACGGCCAATGAGTAGGTTACACGTGGTTCTCCGACGGCACTTCGATGGCACTCCGATGGCATTTTGTCGGCCGTTGATCGGATGTTTGTCATTTTCAGGGGAGACGCAATGGCTGTTTAAATTGATTCATTGAAACGGTGTCGTATAAAGGGACAAGTATTGGGCCCAAACTCCAGCCCAGTGAAGAATGGGCATCCTAAAAGGAGAGCAACCCGAATTAGGATAAGTAAACTAATGAAATGACACCACGTGTAAAGTGTAATAAATTGGTTTATAAATATCTCAAAATTATCATCAATAAAGATAATTACTCTTTCAATTATTCTTTTTTTTGTTTTTATGAGTAGTGAGATAAAAGGTAAAATTTTGGAACCAAAATTTAAGATTAATAATGTGATATAAGTTAATATTATTAAATAAATTAAAACATATAATACTATGAGCTTTAATAAAGTGAAAAAAATGTTAATTATTAAATAATATAAAATTTATTTTTTAATATTTTTATATCATATCATTGATCTCAAAATTTCATCTCATTAGTGCATTTTATCTCTATACCATTTCATACTATTAAAAAAAAACTTTCATCTGGTTTATCATCATCCATTTTCTTATTCTATAATCAAAAAATTTTTCTTTCTAAAATTCACATATTGTTATTATTGGCTTAGCAATTGAAATGGTCAAAGTCAACCTAGACAATTTCTTCTAGAACTATACTAATACTCAATGGAACTGGATAGCATCACAAATTAAACCCCCAGTTGCAACATGCTACCATGAATGATTAGATGAACCTGCTAAAATGAATGATTTAATGAACCTCATCACATTAGTGTTTCATTGTAGCTAACTACTTGTCATTCACATGATTGTCTTGACAATTCTAATTGGATAAAATTAAGATGTATGATTTTCACATGAAACTTTCATATAGTGTACGAAAAAGTTGTTACTTTTATGATTAGCTAAAGAGCAAATGTATAGTTTGTGAATTTTAAAAATTTTAAGGGATTCAAGTTTTATAATCAAATTGAAATGATTTTTTTATTGAAAGAGGTAGATTTTGATATTATCATTGATTATTCAATAAAAATATAAGATATTGAAGGGAATTAAACCATGAATAAAAATTAACTAGATTCATGTTGATATTTTATATAGATGTGAACACAGGAAAAAAACTACCAGTCATTGGTGATAAATTCTTTATTGCCAATGGTTGAGGTTAGACTAATCATATAGTATTGTTTCATGGATGGTAAGTTTACTTTTTGATCGCCTCCGACTCCAATTGACAGAGTTTTACAAAATGATTCTAAAATTAGAGATAGATAAGCAAACAACACGACACAAATAAAATAGGTTTTCATGAAATTGTATTTTCTTTGGGTCTTGTATATTAGATAAATGAACAATGAAAATTAATTTTTCATTTTTTTTATTGTCTCCACGGACCAAATCAAATCCCTTGTACATGTTGTGTTAATTTTTCAAAAAATAATTTGTATAGTTTTGATTCAATATATCTATAAATACCTATCAATTTAGTTATTAAAATATTATATAAAAAATTTTATCAGAAGATCCAATAAACGAAGCCTTAGTATTAGTGAAGTGTTTTATGTCAGGTAAATGGGTATTAATGCAAACCCTTTAATAAATTAATCACAAATCACAAAATACTAAAGATAACGTTTTTATTTAGTCAACTGGGCATTTGGATAATGTTAAT